ATGTTTAGTCTGGCATCAATGTTAAATGTTCAAAACCACGGTGTTGATAAGGTCCTAAGAGTACGAGGATTTGTTCATGTGATTTACCAATCTTGTTTTTATCCTACCTGTTTTTGCTTTTTTATTTATTGTTATGAAGATAACTCAGTGTATGGACAGAATGCAAGATGTCTCCCAACTGCATCCTCATGCATAATCAATGGAATTGAAGTTTATTTGTTACATTTTTTTTTCTTAAAGAAATCTTCAGCATAACTAAGCACACATGATCATAGATTGTGGTCCCTAACCTGTGACAATAATACCTCCATTCCAAAGGATGTAGTAGTTGGTACATTCATCAATGCTTATTCTATTGAACACACTACTTCCATAACTCCATTCCAAAGGATGTAAAAGTTGGTACATTCATCAATGCTTATTCTATTGAACACAGTACTTCCACAACTCCATTCCAAAGGATGTAGAAGTTGGTACATTCATCAATGCTTATTCTATTGAACACAGTACTTCCACAACTCCATTCCAAAGAATGTAAAAGTTGGTATGTTCATCAATGCTTATTCTATTGAACACAGTACTTCCATAACTCCATTCCAAAGGATGTAGTAGTTGGTATGTTCATCAATGCTTATTCTATTGAACACAGTACTTCCATAACTCCATTCCAAAGGATGTAGAAGTTGGTATGTTCATCAATGCTTATTGTTTTGACACAATACTTCCCCCATTGCCGTATACGTCATGTTTTCAAATGAAAATAGGATCAGTCTGGTTCCAAATTCCCTCCAATTGTGTATAAGACTGTTATGTGGTTCTTCCATGTGCTGTTGGTCCTCATGATGTATTCTTGGCACAAATGTAGGTAAGATATGTCTTACAATGAGTGACTGGCATACAGGCCAGCTTTATCAAGTCATTACTATTTTGAGCAGTTTATATTTATATAAGTTTCTTAGAAATTATGAATTTTTTGCTTATAACAAGAGAGTTTACAATACAATAACAGAGATCAAAGTATTTTCAAAACAGTATCAGAGAATAGAGTAACTATAAATAGAAGACTATAAAACCTTAACAGTAAACAAAAAATTAACACATTTAGGATATTTCAGCATATGTATACTGAACAAAATATTCTAAACACACATTAAGAGAGAGATCTAAGAACTGTACTTATATGAAAAGACACCAGATTACTTGCAAGACAAAAATGAGCAAAAGAACTTGACCCTTGGATATCCAGCACAAGCTGAATGGACCAACTTGACCCTTGGATATCCAACACAAGCTAAGTGCACCAACTTGACTCTTGGATATCCAACACAAGCTAAGTGCACCAACTTGACTCTTGGATATCCAACACAAGCTAAGTGCACCAACTTGACCCTTGGATATCCAACACAAGCTAAGTGGACCAACTTGACCCTTGGATATCCAACACAAGCTAAGTGGACCAACTTGACCCTTGGATATCCAGCACAATCTAAGTGCACCAACTTGACCCTTGGATATCCATCACAAGCTAAGTGCACCAACTTGACCCTTGGATATCCAGCACAAGCTAAATGGATAAACTTGACCCTTGGATATCCAGCACAAGCTAAGTGCACCAACTTGACCCTTGGATATCCAACACAAGCTAAGTGCACCAACTTGACCCTTGGATATCCAACACAAGCTAAGTGCACCAACTTGACCCTTGGATATCCAACACAAGTTAAGTGCATCATCTCCTCAAATTTATCCAACAAAGTTTATAAAATCCAAAAAGTTAAACAGAAATCACATTATCATTTAAAACACTTTCCAAACCTACACTTCTACAGAGAAGACATTCCTCCAGAAAATAAGTATGTAGAATCCAGATGCTCAAAGCTCATCTATCTCTCCTAATACTCAAATTCTTACTACTAGCTTATCATAATAAGCACCCTATCAAACAACTCTCAACATCTCAATCAAGTAACTAACACTCCCTCCTCCATTCCCTAGAGAATAAACAAGTTACAGTCCTCAAACCTCTTTTCGTAGCTCAGACTTCCAATTTAAGCATTAAACCAGCAACCCCTTTCTTCAGAATGTTCACATCCCTCCTATGAAACCAAAGTTATACACAGCACCCTAAAAGAGGGCCTACAAGGTTATAGCAATGTTCTCACTTCCATTATCAAAATTTCTATAAACATAAACTAAAAAATACTCAAGTTCACCTATCACAACCAAACATCAATGATCACACACAAATTACGCACCACAAACATCACTTAAAACTTCCAATAATTTAAGTTAACCTTCAAAATCCAATTAACTCCCAAAAAAAAGACTACTTGGGTTCTTTTTAGCCAAAGAAAAATTTTGACACAGAATCAATGCTTTAAGGCATTGGAATTATCAGGAATTTAGAAATACCACTGCTCATTTGAATCACTGAAACAACACAATAAAAAAATAATAAACTAGGAAAACCAGATGGCAAAAGTGGATACCTTTACAAAGCTGAATACTTGAAAGTATCTATAGACACATGCATTTAGCTAACAAAGCACATCTTAACACAAGATTAGAAACGGATGAACATTACTAACTGTTATTTAGATAACATAATACTTCCTACTAAAGAACTGTACCATTTGAACATCCAAGAGTACATTCTTAACATCCGAGTATCATAATACTTCTCCAGCAAGTGAACATCAAAACATGGGAAAGGGAAAGATGACAGGTTTATTTATTCCACAAAGTTTGCCTCTCTCTCCCCATATAGATGATTCAATTGAATTATCTTGGTAAAGCTAAACTCAGTGTTTCAAATAAACGATATTCCACAAAGTTTGCCTCTCTCTCCCCACCAAGATAATTAATTGAATCATTTATATAAAGCTAAACTCAGTGTTTCAAATAAGATACCCATCACACTAGTGTAAGATAAATTAGAACTCAGCACATCAAGTAAATTATTTTAAAAACAATAGAATTTTATTATAAATGCAGTGAATGCCTAGAGCTGAGTTTCTAAATTTACATTATTTCTAACACTTAAGTGTCTGCAGTACTTCCAACCTTATCTACAATATAGCATTGAACCTCCACTGTCCAATTTATCTAACTCCTTAGCAATTTTAAGTATTGGAATCAAATCATCACTAGTTCCAGCAAACAACACTCCATAGGTTTGGAACCTCTCCTCATAGTTAAATCTACTGAAGTCAGTTGTCATTTCTACACTATAAAGGCTGCACTCTGAACTCTTTCCAAAAACTGCACATGGTACTTCAAGTTAGGCCTTATCAGTCTTATAAGAAATTACAATAACCTCTATACTATTTAACCCTCAACTGGTAGGGTGGGGTCAGAATAAGTTGATATTCTAAACCAACCAGTGCTGCTCTCTACTTGATGTTTTCTGTACTTTATCCTCAATCAGTTCTTGAGTGTTGAGCAGAGCAAATGTGTTGTTTCCGTTCTCTTTCTTATTGTTGTAATCATTTGTAGGTCATTTTGCCCACCCTACCACTTATGATACAAATATTTTACCTTACCAGTTGAGAGTTAATGTAAATTTCTACAGATTGCAGAATGATTAGCTCTCTTTACAACAACTAAATATTAAACGGAAAGCAGATAATTTCACTACCTTAACAACTAATAACACATCCATTCACAACTCTTATAAGTATCAGAGCATTTTTTACACATCAATAACATCTCTTAAAATTTTGAATGTTGAATAATATAATGAATCTTACAAGAACCAGAAATAACATGATTAAAAAATTTTAAATTGTTATAAGTTTGAATAAGCTGTTTATAACAAGTCTGCCTCAACAGTAGAGGGCTACATTTGACTTTTTTTGTAATGGTGACCTCAATAGGTCAACTAAACTTCTGAAATCCATCCGATTCAAACTTGCACCTGTGTTTAAAATTGTTTTTGTTTTTTTATATCACTTAAACTAAGAACACAGAGTGCAGTAGTATTTTTATAATAGCTTATTTGAGATTCCTGATGAGATGATAATGACAAAAAATTAATTATAGATTTTTTTCAAGTTCATAAATTTTTTATATTTCTTCATAATAAGCTTTCAGTTCCTGGCCTTAGGTAGTTGCAAGCTTATTATAAAGAATGATAATGCAGAGAAATCTATGTTAATTGATTTTGTTCTCATTAACATATCAGTTGAGAAGCATAAAAAAGAAAATTACTGATCGTGAAGAACTGTGTTTATCGTTCATCCAACAAAAAAAAACTTAAACTAGAGGTGTCAACTACAGTAGAGATAAAATTGATAAAAAAAATTAAAACTTCAGTATGTATAGTGGTATTACCAGGAGGCACAAATATAAATTTTGGCAGGGTGGGAGTCATTTTCAACTAAGACAACTTTAATTTTCTAACAATGTGGTTGGTCGTTGGAATGGGTTACCTTCAGATGTGGTAGATGCAGTTAATTTAAGGGTGTTTAAGAACAGGCTTTATAAATGTTATAATGTTTGATTGTTTTGAACTTAAAGTTGAGATTAATGGGTGACCTAAATGGACCAAAACGCCCCTCGTTATCCTTAACTTATAATGCGACTGTTGTTTTTCTGGTAATCTGAACCAGTTTCACTCATCTTCAATATATACATATACACTTTTGAAATAATTCAGCAATACAGCATAAATAAACCTACATTTGAAACAAAACTTGACTAGTAGTTTTAGTAATAGTAACTTGATTGAGGAATAAACCTTCAGGAATCTGGGTCAAATAACTTGGGCAGAATGATTTTTCTCATAGAATTATCAAATTTTGGAATACTTGGCCTCACGATTTGGCATGAGCTTATAGTCTTTGTTAGATAAGGATAAGTATGCAAAAGATATTTGTATATAGCTCGATATTTGGTTTGTTTAGGCCTAGCAGTTTCCTATGTGGGCCAAAAAGCCAGCTTGTCACTCTGCTCTTTCTCTTGCATACTGACAGTTTGAAAAACATTTCAATATTTCTTACCTTTAGGTTCATGGCCGTCTACTTGTGCTGATTTCATTATATCTAATATCTGTTGTTCGAGTGGATAAAGTTGTTCCAGAGGATCTGCAAACATTTTGTGATTTAAACTTTTCTTTGATCTTGATTTCACTTATATGATTTTCTATTTCTATACTGCTCATATAAAGTATATGGTTTTATATGTAACATCATTATTTAATCCCTTTTTATTTAGGAATGTCAGTTTACTGGGAACTTCAACTCAAGTCTGCAAACATTTTGTGATTTAAACTTTTCTTTGATCTTGATTTCACTTATATGATTTTCTATTTCTATACTGCTCATATAAAGTATATGGTTTTATATGTAACATCATTATTTAATCCCTTTTTATTTAGGAATGTCAGTTTACTGGGAACTTCAACTCAAGCTTTTTAAAGTCATGACATTGACAAGGCTGATAATTTATTATCAGTACTGACAAGTGAATATTAAACTGCATTACAGAAATTGACAATTTATATAAAAATCTATTTATAATCAATTATTTTAGTCACAAACAAAGCATTAATAAATAAATCTGTATATAATACATTGGAGCTAATGATATCAGGAGTTATCAAGAAGCCATAATGAGCCACTTTGAAACTTCAAACACACAGTGTAGCAGTCACGTAGGTCCGGATTTCTTCAATTTTAAGTTAAAGCAAGAAATGCGAAGCAAGCAGAGATCACAGATTGAATGAGCGATTATCATAAACATGTTCAAACTATCAAAAAATGGGACAAAGGTAGGAGAAAGGTGCCTGTAAGTGGTGGGTTTCATTTATGTATGTTAGAAAGCTCTATAGATATTTTAAAAGTTACAGTTTAAATACCAAAAGTAAAAAAATATTAGAAAAACCAATAGGCCTAAAAATTATTATAAAAAAAACAGGTTAACTGCAGTTTCTTTTTTTTTCATATTCCTCATAATTTGTCCATTGTAGCTCAAAATCAGTCTGTGTGAAAAATAGCATTATAGGTCTTTTTAATATGGTTCTGATTTCAAGCCACAATGACCAAATTAAGAAGAATGTGAAAAAAAAAAAAAACATCTGCAGTTATCTTATTTTTGTAACAATTTTTAGGTCCATATGTTTAGATAAGTTGTAGACGAAGGAAAATCTTTGACCTCAACAAAAAAAGAGAATTTTAATGTAAATTTAATTTCCTTTATGCTAATACTAAAAGTGTTTACACAAACTAGTTTGAATTAAAGGCAGTAAGCATGTTAGATATCACTGATGTTATTGAAACTTTGTAAAATGAATATTACAAAGATTTTGCTTTAAAAGAATTAACCATTTCACTCTGAGAAATGACTAAAGTCAATTGAACTTTTATTACTGTTAAGTGCGGAAACCAATGTTTTTCCACAGCAGCCAAAAAAATTTTTCCCTTTACTGCAACAATCAACAGATCTCTGGTCATCAAACTGCCACCATTTTATGGTAATGTGACGAAGAACTCTTTACAACAAATTTTAGACATTTTCTTGTTGAAAATCTAAATTTCCGTTATTTAATGTTGTTGTCAAGAAATTTTAATGCAATATATGGAAACTTTTCAGGTTGGAAAACTAATAAAAAAGAGTTCAAATTAAGACTTATTTTTTATGAAGAATTAATAACTAACTACACAGTAAAAGGGTTAAATTTATAAATGAACTGTGCAAGTGAAAGTGGGCATTATGCTTGGGTAAAACAAGCCAAATTTTATGAAATAAAAATAAATGAGGCTGGAAAATATCAGGCATGTATCTCAGAGTTGAGATTCCTGAAAACTTGTTAACATTTTCCACAGACCACCTGATCACTGACAGGTATGTATTCAGGCAGATTAGTTATGGTACTAGGAAAACAAGGTTTTTTTACTATGGAAAAGTTTAGGGAACCTGACTGAGTGACTCTTCTTTTCCTAATGCTCAGGCATTTCTTGATGTTGTGTGGAACTGCCTTCTCAATCATCAAGTGAAAGATCCAGAGAAGATGCTATTTTAGATTGTTCTTAGTACCACATAACATTAGAAAAGGTAGGGTCAAGAGAAGGTCATACAGCTTATGGAGGTCACAGCTCAACAACATAAACAAAAGAAAATGAAAATTCAAAAATAAAATGGCTGGTGTGAAAACTTAGTTCTAAATTAGAAATTGATATTTGTGTCCCCTAATGTTACTCTTCTCCCCATTAAATATGAAAAAAGATGATGCATCAACATTCAATTCCCTTAACAGTCTAAAACACTGCAGTCAGATGTCTTCTTAACCTGTCCTCATATGACAACCTTTCTATCATGGATATCATCCTATTAATCCTTCTCTGAACCCTTTCCAATAATTCAATGTCTTTTCTAATGTAAGGAGTCCAAGACTAAATGATACTGAACTTAAAATGCGGCCATAACCGGAGACCTATACAAGAAATTATAGCCTCTTTAGACTTGTATTCAATATTTCATGCATGGAATTTTCTTACTAGATCTGTTAAATTTCCTTAGGAAGATAGTATTCCTTATAAAGTTTTATGTTTAAGTCAGTGACCATGTTTGAACAGAAATATTAAGTTTTTAATAAATAATAAACATAGCTCTCAAGAGTATGAAAATCACTGGTAAAACTGTAGGTGTGGTAGAATATTGAAATGGATAAAGGAAGTCATAGGTGAGGTTAAGATAAACTTAGATTCTTAGTTTGAAACATCAATTCAAATTTATGGGGTTTTTCTGTAATTGTTACACAAGCAAGTCTTAAATAATGAACAAAGGAGGGATGAAACATCTCTTAATTTAATTCTTCTGTAAGTTTGCACCCACCCCCTTTAAAAGAGGTTTTCTTGTCACACAAGTTTACTGGATCTAGACTTCCAGGAAGCCTACAGTAAAGTTTGTTACAGTAGGTTTGTTAATAAGTTTCATACAGAATTGGGAGCAACTCAAAAGGTGGGTTAGCATTTGGCTTGAAGATAGATAAAAAAAACAAACTTTAATAAATGGCCATCATTCTGACTGAGAAAACATTGTAACTTGTGGAGTCCATCAAGGGTCTGTCTTGGATTCTTTGTTGCATATTGTCTGTGTCAGTGATATGGACTACTGTATAAGAAGAAAGATTTATACATTTTCTGATGATACTTAACTGCTAGATAAATCTTATTCTATACGAAATACTTTCTTAAAGTTAATTCAGAAGAACTTCTGGACATTGTTTTCAAGTGGGCTAATCTGTGATAAATGTGAAGTTAAACATTTAGGATATGAAGATTTGGAAAGATGTTGTATGTTTGGTGAAAGTATTAGTCTTGTAGGAAGTTAGAGATAATTGGGTGTGATGATTTGACTAAATGTTTGGATGAAATGAAATGAAGAAACAGGATTTTGTGAGCTATTTATTGAAATTGAGCATAAGAGTGGAAATGTTATCACATTGTATAAAACTTTGGTAGAACCTTATTTAAAGTATTATATTCACCTTTGTTGCCTTTATGATAAAAAAATGACTTGCTTGAAAAGGTTCAGAAATAGGCTATTAAGATAGTTCGTTGTTTGAAACATGCAAGCTATGGAGATATAAACTAAAAGATTTGAACTTTCCTCCAGAATGTAGAACTATAGGTGACCTGATTCAAGTCTTTAAAATTATTAGGAGCTTGTATAAAGTATCTATGGAAGTGTGGGAGATTTGTTGGAATGATGGAAGGATCAGACAGGACATGATATTCTGAATATCTTAATATTGGAGGAAATAAATGTAAAATTTAGATACTCAAATCTAGGCAAGTTATTAGGATCTTTATTAAACTGTGGAATGGTTTACCAACTTGTTGCTTAAATCCTTTTAATGTTTTTCTTGGATAATTTATGGTTATTTTCAATGTTGGGCTGGTTTCTTTGATGGCTGGTGTAAATGACCTTTTGCTATCTAGCTTAGATCCAAGTTTGTTCTTTAGCACAGTATTTTATTAATACTAATTTTGGAAAGGTAGAAATCATTTTTACTTAAAACAGATTTATTTTTCTAACAGGATAAATGGCTGTTGGAGTGGGTTAACTTCAAATGTGGTGGATTCAGTTAATTTAATGGAATTTAAGGAAAAGCTTGATAAATATTGAATGATAAGGGCTGACTGGGTTTTTTAATGTTTAGTTTAATTTAGTGAATAGAACAGCCTAGATGGACCAAAAATCCCTTGTTGTCATTAAGTGCTATGTAAAAATGAAATTTACTAGTGTTAGAATAAGGGAATTTTAGGCACTAGGTAAAGAGAAGTGTAGATTATGGGAAATGGCAGCAGGATTTCAGGAGGAACTTAAGATTCTACATGCAAGGGGTACATCAGCTGACAATGACTTTCAGGAAGTTAGAAAGAGCACTATTAGGGTTAAAAGTAGTGAATTTAGTTATAATGAGCCTATGCTGTTGAGCAACAAATTTCAGCTCTTGGCTTCTGCAGATGAGGAACTATTGGAGGGAAGGAAAACAAAAGGGTCAGAGAAGGATGTGGATGATAAGGAGGTTATAGT